TCGAAGCAATTAGAATAAGGTATCTACATGCTCCTCTTTAGACGAATACTGCTTGGGCGCTCTTTGTTGATTTGGCGCCTTGCCTTGCTTAGTAGGCGACGGCACTCGCGTGTAGTCAGCTGCTAAAGTCTTCTTTCCCTTAGACCGCTGGGCGTTGTTCTGGTTGCGTTGCTGTTGCGGCTTGGGTTGCGGCTCTTCTTCAGCTTTAACTCGCGCCACTATCTCTTTAGATTGTTCTCCTTGTGAAACTAGTTCTCTCCAGGAGCGACACTCCGCTACCCCCATCTGAGCAAGGAGCTGGGTCTGTAAGTTGTGCCTGTAAGTTTCAACCAAAGTTGATTGGGTCATACCTGAAGGGCATCGCAACGCCATGCTGTGGAATCTCTCCACATAGGTCTTGATGGATTCTCCCTTCTTCTGTTTAGTGGCGAGAAGAGTCGGGACTGAGACCTCTATGTCTTCTTCGAAGAACCTGGCCAAGAATAGCCTTTCCAGGTCTACCATTTCTGGATAGATCCGGTAGGCAGTTTCATGAACCATTCGAAAGCGACACCCTTGAGGGTACCGATGAATAGCCTGGTCAGGATGGCATCGTTCGCTACCACATCTCTAGTTTGGGATTTGAAGTAGTAAATGTGCTGATTCGGCGATCCTGTGCCATCAAACGATTGCAAGGTAGGGGCCTTAAACTTCGGTGGGTAGGGAGCTGTATCCCACTCAGCAGGGTAAGGCCGCACCACTCCTTCTTCGCGGAGCTCGCTTCTATTAGTAATTGCGTTGAGGCGAGCCTCCAGTTCATCCACTTTAGCGGACTGGGGATGCAGCACTTTTTCCACCTCTTTCTCATTTTCAGAAGATAAATCCAAGTTGTGAGTCTCACGATCTGAATGTTCGTGCAATTTCTGCTTTCCCTTTGACATAGTTCTCCAGGAAGACTCGGGTTTTTGGCCTTTTTCAGCAAGAAGCTGAGCCAACATCTCCTTTAATTGGAGAAGTGTCTCCTGTTTCGTCTGGAGCATGACATGATGTTCGTCCACTCTTTTGGCTATGTCCTCAGGGTTTCCCGCCATGTAAGAAGAAACCTCTTATGCTCCGACAGAGCTTGAAGATTGAGATTCGGCTATTGCCGAATGTTCATCACTTGTTGTAATGTCTTTAGATAACTTTTGATAGTTAACCGGGCAAATAGCTCCTGTCCGAGTCTGAGTATTCCGATATACTCCTTCGAATTGGTCACAAATTTCCCTAACAGTTAATAGCTCCTGTCCGAGTCTGAGTATTCCGATATACTCCTTCGAATTGGTCACAAATTTCCCTAACAGTTGGGGAATGACTTCTTTGCGACCCGTCGGAATCGGAATGCGAGGCTTTTCCTCTGCCGATCATGTTGATGGTGAGCTCGGGGTATTCTGCTTCAGCTGTCTTCTTTTTGTATCGACGTTGTCGTTTGGCAGGCCTAACGACATTCGTCAACCTGTCGAACACTGACTGCCGAGGTACAAATGCGCAACAGTAGCATTCTGAAAGTACTGCCGAGATAAGCCTCTCACATTGATAAGAGTGAGCTGCTTGTTGCGCTGGTTTTCCTCTTGACAGTAATTCCAGCAAATCAGGAACTTGTGAGGAAATTTTCTCTCGGCGTGGAGGCGGAGATGGAACCCCCTGCCCTTGGGTGGGTGAAATTAGTTCTTGTCGAACGTGGATTTTGAAACCACGCTGGCTTTTCTGAAGCTGGCGGACCTCTTGAAGATCGCGTTCTTGAAGAATAACGCTAGTGTCACGTTCTTGAAGAATAATGCGAGGGTCGCGTTTAGTTTTGTAAACATTAGGCCGAGGCCTACGTTTAAATGATGAAACAGACCCCTGAGGGTCATGTTTTGGTTGAACGCGCCCCCGAGGGTCGCGTTTAGTTGGTGGAACAGACTTCTGAGAGTCATGTTCTTTTTGAACGCGTACGTGAGAGCCGCGTTTGTCTTTGGCAGCTTCCTTCTGAGGGCTGCGTTTTGAAGTAACAACGCGCCATTCAGGGTCGCGTTTTAGCTGTATCAGCTGAGGCTCGTAGTCGGGCTCATTGCCACGAAGAGAACGTTCTGTTTTTGGAATGCTAGGCTCGGTCAAAATTTCAGAAACGCGATCTTCGCGTTGGGCCAACATTCGACTTTCACGCAAGTGTGCTCGTCGTATGGATCTTCTCTGTCTGCGAGCGGCGTTTTTCTTGGCTTGTTTCAAAGCCTTAGCAGCAGCGTCATTGACGTTTACGGAGCTCGTCTCCTCTATAGGCCGTTTGTGGCCTAAAGCACGTCGTGCTGACGCGGATGTGGGCTTTCCAGCCATCAAAGCTAGTTTAAGCTCCTGGGCGAAGGAGAGGGCTTTCTTCGGCATTTCAACAACAGAGTTGATCTCCTTGGAGATCTTGCAGACATCGCGTTTAGCCTTGGGGCTAAGCGATCCCGAGGATAATGCCTCCTCGTACTTTGCTTGATCAAACCCTACGACGAGAGTTTCTAGAGTCGTTCCCATGAGGTGGACGTCGGACTGTGCCACCACTTCTTCATCAGAAAAGCTAGTCCCCAGCAGAGTCGCCATCTTTTGTATGTTGAAAAAATTACAATGAAAAGAACAAAAAAAAAATTGACTTGTATTTCTTTGATTCCGATTACAATTCGATTACAAAAGAGAAGAGAACGAATTTGGTTCTCTCCTTTGTTTAAAACTGGGTTCTTCAAGATAGCGATGGAGTGCCTCCTTCAATTATTCACGTCGAATTTGCTCTCCGTTGATGATCCGACCGTCTTTTATCTCGTGGGAATGATGAACTTCTGTGAAAAGTTCAATGGGTAACTCTGAATGAGTTTAAGAACTCTGAACGAGTTAGAACTATGTGAATAGAGTTATTAGAACCGAAAATTTGGTTAATGACCAAGCATATATTCTGTTGTTGAAGAATCCCTTCGGTTTTGATCTTCTAGACTTGATTCAAAAATCCTATCTCCAAGGATTTTTGCCTCTCTCACTCCTCTCTGTGCAGTTGAGATCCTCAAGATCTAATTTGCTGCTTCTTCGTACAAAAAAGCCAGCCCCTAACTTAGTTGAGTTTGTTGAGTTTTTATAGGTGGATAAGAGGTTGTAACTGCCCTCTAAATCCGCTCCTAAGTGGGCGTGATTTCCTCAGATCGTGGGGAAACAGTTCTGAAACCGTTTGGCTCATATTCGAACGAGTCAAACGCCCAATCTAGCATTCAGAACCCAACGTCACCTCTTAGAATTGAGACGCGAGGTTGGGTGTTAGCTAAACACCAATGAACGCGGGGGTCGCTCGCGTTTGGTTTGTTGTAGCTTGGAAACACGGGGGTCGCCTGCTTTTCCAAAATTGTGACGCGGGGATGACTTCCGCATTTTAGAAGAGATTAGTTGATCTATAACCTCTTCTAAGAGCGTTGCAAGGACCTTTGTTCAGTAATCCTAGCTTTAGCTGTTGTGAAATGTGAAAGTCGTCAGATTGTAACCTTCACTGTAGATTATGAAGACTGCTAAATAGAGTTTTCATTAGTTGTCAGAAGTATCGTTGAATTGTAACACTCCTCGATCTATGTGAAAAGTCCTCTATTTGCAGCTTTCACTTGTCGGCACGAAAACTATTTGATTGTAGCTTTCATTGTTGGAACTTGACGGGAATCAAATATCCATAGTGATTTTTAGACGAATATTTGCCCACAGCTCTCTACCAAGCAGCTCACCAACTAAGTCCAACCTTTTATTTCTAAAATCATTACACTGCTCATCAGCATCTCTAATAGTTGCTAATATTAGTTATGCTGTTATCGCAGCCATCAAGATCAATCATCTCAGAAATGAGGCCGTGTTTGTAACGGTTGCAGAGTTGCAGATACAGTGATTAGGAAATCGTTTGATTGTAACTTCCATCTTCAGGGCTTGATGAGGATCAGCTATCTATTGTGATTTTTAGACAGCCTACATGAACAAAACAATAGATGAGGCATACACTCTCACTGAATACATGGCTCAGAATCACTAATAATGGGCGAACGAGCGTGCTCAGACATCAAAAGGAGAAAAGTATGAAATAGATGCTTTAGATCATATATCCTCTAAAGTTGATGCTTTGTTTAAAAAAGTAGAAAGCTTGAGTATTAATTTTGTGGCGTCTACTTCAATTGCATGTGAGATATGTGGTTATGTGGGTCATTCTGTACTTGAATGTCAATTAGGAACCCCCCCCATCCATTGATACTTCTGGTAATGACCAGGTTAACTATGTTAATAACTTTAATCTGAAGGGAGACACATTCTCTAATACTTATAATCCAAGGTGGAGGAATCATCCTAATTATCTTATAGAAACCCACTTAGAAATCCCTTGCCCGCATCTAATTTTACTCCTCCTGGTTTTCTTGCTCCTCAATCCAATCTCCCTTCTTAAAGGTCTTATTTGGAAAATATGATGGAAAAATTTGTGACGACTCAATTGAGATTGAATGAAGAGTTTAAACAACAATAACAAACCACGAATGAGGTAGTTAAACAATTGGCATCTAAGATGGATTTCCTAGCTACACATAACAAGATGTTAAAGACACAAATCACTCAATTGACGTAAAATGCTAACTCTTCTTCTAGCCCTTCAAGAATGCTACCTGGGCAACCTAAGACGAATGCCAAGGGTCATGTGAATGCTACATCCCTTATGAGCGGAAAACAATATGAGGGACCTAAGATGAAGGAAAATGCTAGGGTAAAAGGTCATCATGAAGAAAAAAATGAAAAGGTGGTAGATGTGGATAATGAGACCCAAACGCATGAAGAAGAAAAAGTTAAGAAATATGTATCTCCCGCTCCTTTTTAAGCCTCCTCTACCCTTTCCCCAAAGGTTAGCTAAGGATAAGTTAGAAAAATAGTTCAGAAATTTTTTGGAGATTTTGAAAAAGTTGCACATCAATATCTCATACATCAATATCTCGTTCACTGAGGCTATTTCTCAAATGTCTTCGTACGCTAAGTTCTTGAAAGAGGTCCTATCTAATAAAAGGAAGTTGGAAGAATACGAGACTGTGACCCTTACTGAGGAGTGTAGTGCTATTATCCAAAATAAGTTACCTCCTAAACTTAAGGATCCAGGTTCATTTTCTATTCCTTGTGTTATTGGTAATGTGTCTATTAACCGTGCTATGTATGATTTAGGTGCAAGCGTAAGTTTGATGCCAATGTCTATTTGTAAGAAGCTTGACACAGGTGATTTGAAGCCAACCACGATATCACTCCAATTGGAGGAACGATCGGTAAAATATGAGGTATGTATACTTGAAGATGTACCTATCCAGGTCGGTAAGTTCTTTATCCTAGTTGATTTTGTTATTTTAGAAATAGAAGAAGATTCTAACATTCTAATTATTTTAGGAAGACCCTTCCTTGCTACTACAGGTGCTACAATCAATGTTAAAAATGAAAGGTTCTCCCTAAATATTGGAGGGGAGATGGTAGAATTTGATTTAAGCAATGCTATGAAACTCCCTCTAACTGATAAAGTTTGTTACATGGTCGACGTGATTAATAAGTGTACACATGAGCAACTGGCAAACCATTACTCAGTTGATCCACTTAAAAAGTGTTTGGTAAGCGACGGTTCAATAAATGATGAAGACCCCGAGGTAGCCACTTATGCTCAATGATTAGAATCAACATCAATTGATCCACTTTGAAATGCAAAGCTTGAAAGTCTGATGCTAGAGCCAAAAAGTTCTACCCGTGAAGAGGATAAAGTACGAAAGGTAGAATTACAACCCCTCCCTTCCTCTTTAAGGTATGAATTTCTTGGTCCTAACTCTACTTATCCTGTAATTGTGAATGCATGTCTGAATGAAAATGAAACTGATAAGTTGCTTAGAACACTTAGGATGCATCACAAGGTCATAGGATACACCATGGACGACATTAAAGGAATCAACCAATCAATTTGTATGCATAGCATTTTCTTGGAAGATGATGATAAACCCTCTATAGAGCACCAACATAGATTAAATCCTGGCATGAAGAAAGTGGTTAAAAAAGAGGTACTTAAGCTACTAGATGCTGGGGTAATCTATACTATTTCTGATAGTGAATGGGTTAGCTCGGTCCATGTGGTTTCTAAAAAAAGGGGGTGTGACTGTAGTTAAGAATGCGAATAACGAACTTATCCCTACTAGGATGGTTACGGCCTATAGGATGTGTATTGATTATAGAAAGTTAAACAAGGCAACCCAAAAAGATCATTTTGCACTAAACTTTATAGACCAGATGTTGGAAAGGTTGGTCAGACATTTCTATTTTTATTATTTAGATGCCTATTCAGGATTTTTTCAAGTCTCTATTCATCCTAGTGACCAAGAAAACACCACTTTAACCTATCCCTATGGGACCTTTGCTTATAGGCGCATGCCTTTCTGTCTTTGTAATGCCCTGCCACTTTTCAACGATGCATGATGGCTATTTTCTTTGATTTTTATAGAAGACATTATGGACGTGTTTATGGATGACTTCTCTGTGTATAGGACTACTTTTTATGGTCGTTTAGCTAACTTATCTCGAGTTTTGTAGCGTTGCGAAGAAGTTAATTTAGTCCTAAACTGGGAGAACTATCACTTTATGGTAAGGGATGGAATAGTTCTAGGGCACAAGGTGTCCAAGCGCGGAATTGAGGTTGATCGAGTAAAAGTGGAAATCATTAAAAAATTACCTCCACCAACATCGGTTAGGGGAGTAAGAAGTTTCTTAGGATATGTCGGTTTCTATCGACGTTTCATCAAAGACTTTTCAAAAATTGCAAAACCTTTAACTAACCTTCTTCTTAAAGATGCTCCCCTTGATTTCACTAATGAATGTTTTGATGCTTTTCGCTTTTCGTAGGTTAAAGGAAGCATTGATAACAGGTCATATTATGTAATCGCTGGACTGGAATCTCTTATTTGAAGTCATGACTGATGCAAGTGAGTATGTGGTTGGTGTTGTGTTGGGCCAAAGGAAGAACAAGATAGTTCATGCAATTTATTATTCTGGTTGCACTCTTGATGAGGCCCTAGTTAACTATGCTACTACTGAAAAGGAGCTATTAGCAATTGCCTTCGCCTTTGATAAGTTCCGGTCTTACTTAGTGGGATCCAAAGTCATCGTTTATACCGACCACTCCGCCATCAAATATCTTTTGAGTAAGAAAGATGTCAAGGCTAGGTTGATTCAATGGATACTACTTTTACAAGAGTTTGACCTAGAGATAAAGGACAAGAAAGGGACAAAAAATTTGGTGGCAGACCATTTGTCGAGGATGAGGCAAAATTCACATGATAGGGAAGAGGATGAACTACCGAACGACGACTCCTTCCCAGATGATTAGTTGTTAGCCATTGAAAGATTGGATGCACCATGGTATGCGGACTTTGTCAACTACATAGTGTGTGGAGTCTTGCCTCCAGATCTGAGCTATCAATAGAAAAATAAGTTCTTTGCTGACTTGAAGTATTATTTTTAGGATGAACCATTTCTATACAAACGGTGTGTTCATAGGATGTTTAGGAGGTCTGTTTCTGAAGATGAGGTTACAATTATTCTCCATCATTGTCATTCATCTTCTTACAGGGGACATGCAAGCACTTCAAAGACAGCTACAAAAGTTCTACAATTAGGTTTCTATTGGCCGAGTCTTTTTCGGGATGTAAAATAGTTTGTGACATCTTGTGATAGCTGTCAGAGGACTAGGAACATTTTGAAACGACATGAGATATGCCTTTACATCCATCTTGGAAATTGAGGTCTTTGATGTGTGGGGCATAGATTTCATGGGGCCGTTTCCATCATCGTGTAACAACAAGTTCATCTTAGTGGCAGTGGACTACGTCTCCAAGTGGTTGTGAAACTATTCAGTGATGGCGGTAATCAGTGATGGCGGTTCACACTTCATAGAAAGAAAATTTGAAGCTCTCTTAAGAAAGTATGGGGTCACTTATAAGGTTGCCACGCTATACCATCCCCAAACTAGTGGTCAAGTGGAAGTTTCAAATCGTGAAATTAAGAGTATCTTGGAGAAAGCAGCTAATCGTTCGAGAAAGGACTGGTCTATAAAACTCTCGGATGCCTTATGGGCCTATAGAACTGCCTACAAAACACTCATAGCCATGACACCGTTTAAGTTGGTATATGGAAAATCATGTCATCTCCCAGTTGAGTTAGAGCACAAGGCGTATTAGGCTATCAAGATGCTAAATTTTGATATGAAGACCACAGGGGAGAAAAGAGGGTTTCAACTTTATGAGCTAGATGAGCTACGATTAGATTCCTATGAGAATGCTCGCATGTATGAAGAAAGGACTAAACGATGGCACGATAAGAATATCCTTCGAAAAGAGTTTAATCAAGGAGATATGATATTACTTTTCAACTCTCATTTGAAGCTTTTTCCGAGCAAGCTCAAGTCCAGGTGGTCCAGACCTTTTCAAGTCTGTGAGGTCTTTCCTAGTGGAACTGTTGAAGTTTAGAGTGAGACAATGAGATCTTTCAAGGTGAATGGGCAATGATTGAAACACTACATTATAGGGGAACAAAATGAGAAAGGGGTCACTTATACCCTTTCTGATCCTCCTTCATCAGAGAATTGAGCACAAAAAGGGGTCGAACTCATGACCATAAACGAGCGCTTCTTGGGAGGCAACCCAAGTTTTCCTCATTTCTCGTTCTTTTATTTTACCTTATTTTATTTCACTTTAATTTTGTTTATTATTTTTATATTCAATTGGATCGGTAAAAATTTAACTTTTAATTCTTTCAATCATGTAGTTGCAAAGAAGGGAAGACATGGCATTAACTAAGGAATGATAAAAAAAACTGCAGAGAAAAGGGTTAAAAATGGAGCGGCAGACTTTACCACACCCAGGGGTGGTATCCACCACACCCCTGGTTCACTAGAAACCAAAAGTTTACGACAATTCTAGACCTACCTACACTCAGGGGTGGTGTACGCCACAAACCTGACTCGCTGGACAGAAAAAGACCAGACCCTACCCACACTCACGTGTGGCTCGTCTGCCACACCCAGCAGCTCAATGAAACAAAAATCAAATAATAAAAAACCCTGTAGATGAGCCCATCCCAGACCCCACCCGCCTCCTTTCATCTCTTTGAGCCTAACCACAAACCACTGCGCACCAGCCACTGCCTCCCATCCATACATCCGTCGGCCTCATGCTCCTCAGCGCAACACCTCTTCGACCAAACACTGTCGTCTTCGCTCATCCTTCCTCAACCCGCAAGGTGTCCAGATCCGTATCTATCAACCACCAAGTTCGTGTCGCGCCATCCTACACTCACTGCCTCTCATTCGTCATCGTCCACGCTCTACCAACCTCCGCCTCACATTGTTTCCACCATCGATACCATCAACACCGTCCTTTTGTCCTAAATCAACACACCCTGGCACCACCTCTATTTTACTGCACCACGCTTCCTCTCTTCTTCCTCAAACCAGAGCCAGACCGCCGCCTCTCCTCTCCCTCTCCTCTCCTCAAATATCCTGCCTGCCCACTGATACTTCCAGAACCCACCTCCTATCCACTACCATCATCGCCGGCCAACAACCACCTCCACCACCGTCTCATTTTCACCATGCAACCAGCGCCATACCTCCCTCCCCTCTTTGACCTAACCATCCCCCTTCGACCCAGCGGCCACTTAAGTCCTCCAACCCAACTTCGATTTCGCTGCTGAACACCACTACCATCTCGTGCTGCACAACGACCAGCCACCGCATCAACCATCATTTGAACTGCTGTGACTCTCATTTGGTAGACTAAATGAGACCTAAATGTGGACAGACTAGTTAGGGAGCCTCAACTTCTAAATCGCAACGACAAAGAGGTAACCCTCCCCCTCCCCAAAATCCTCATGGTATAGAATTTGTCGATGCACAACAACAATCTTGGTATAATATACTGGTTAAGCAGGGAATTCTGAGTACCCGCTACTTGGATGAGATTTGTTTACGTGAGTAAGGACTGTGGTAAGATGTTTCATACCTCCTAAGATAGTTTAGTTGGATGAATTTTGTAGAGGCTAAACATTCCATGTACGAGCATATTACACTTAAGTTTTTGAGTTCTCTTGATGCTATTTTATTTAATGGTAAGGGAGTAAAAGAAGGGAAAATCACTTAAATGAGATATTTGGTTTTCCATGTGCGAGCATATTAACCAATCCCACACACTTACATTAGCCCAATTAATTGAGATATTTGGTTTTCCAGAGGGTGGGCTAGAAATGTCCCTAAACATTTTAACTTGAACCCCTTTTGGACTTCCATCGCATGCTCTACCACTCAAAGAACCTATAATCCCTCACTATCAAGGGCCTCTGCTGTTTATAATCCATGCTTTAGATATTTACAGAGGTTCATGGCTTTCACCATTTTTGGTCGAAGCCAGAGTGATGGAGTCATGTGTTAGAGAGAACTCTACCTCCTATGTGCCATGGTCGAGGGACACAAGGTTGACATATGAGCTTTTATGATTCATTATATGTGTCGTGCAGCGAGAGCAACGAATGGAAAAATTGTGTTTGCTGGCTTGATTACCACCTTAGCTTATGGGATGGGTTTATGGGAGCTCGTAGAGGGACTTTATCCTTTAAGCCCTAGTGCGTCCATTAACCTTGATGCTTGTCTTCATATGAAATTGATTAGCCATAAGGGCAATAGGTTATAGTATATTTTTAGGACAATTATATTTTCCCACTCCCTGATCCTAATCGCATGACCATCCATATTCACGCTAATTAGTGCTACCTCACATCTGATTTTTGTGAATTGCGATGGTCACGAGGTTGTGCTAGCTGAGAATACTGACACAGTACCCCCGATCCCTATTCAAGCTTAGCCTAATAGGGGAGCTAGATTATCTCACCACTTTGATTGGTCAGCGGAGCTATCAGCTATCCATATTTTCCTTGCCTCCCTTACTAACCATGTAGGTACCATCAAGCAAGAGCAACAACGTCAAGGACAACTCCTGAACTCTATGCACAACATGATGCAGTCTTTTCATGAGTGGCAGCTCTGCCAGGATGCCTCCGCTACACCTCCTCCTGACCAGTGAGTTGGTATGTCCCCTTGACCCTTGCACTCATTTACATCCTACTACATTGGGGACAATGTAGATCTTAAGCTTGGGGGTGTGGGTTATTTATGTATTAATTGCATGATCATGATTGACTGTTTTTATTTTATTTTCATTTTTCTTTGCTTTGCTTCCTCTTAAACAAAAGGAAATGATTTCTTGATGATGACATGAATCCTTAACCTTTATAAATCATTAAACTAGATAGATGCTCATTAGTCGGGACTAGACAACTTTTTAATCCACCTTTCAACTGATTCTCAAAGGCTTTTGATTAGAAGTTAACAATATGGGAAAACCAGACTTGAATGTTCTATTGTCTTACAAGATTTAGCATGTATGTGGCTAGCATCATGAGACAATAGGGGAAATAAGTTTGGTAGACAAACAAAACTAGTGAGACATTGAGCCTGAAATTGGATGCATTACATGTTCAATCATGATTTTCTTTTCTTATGTGATATTCTCCAATGGTTTACGATACTAGAACTTGCATTGAATCTCTTCAAGGCCACATATAACTTTTATATGCATAAAAGGTGATTGACGCACATATATTTTTTTTATTTATAGTCCATATTAGCCAAACATCCTACCATGCGCTAGTGTTCCCTTTGATTAGCACCCTTGAGCCTATGAGCCTAATTTTTGTTGATTCAACCCACATATGTAACATTTAAACCCGATTGTATTCCTTACCCATGCCTAAGCTAGTGGAGCACAATTTCTGATATAATGGGTTGTGTGAGTAATGAGGTGTAAGCTTGGGGGTGTTAAAGGAGGTGTTCGTTTCTTTTTCAATTTTATTTAATC